AAAGTATACCTGGTCAAAAAAAAAAAAATCAAAGTATACATAAGTTATAAATATTAATTATTTTATTCATTATTAAATAATAATTATAATTATTAATTATTTATAACATTCAAACTAAACACACACAATATTTTAAGGTGATGTTAATATATTTTTTATGTAACAATAATTATCACCGTGATGTCCGTCGCCTATGGAAGCTATATCTGGTTAATTATGGGTTTGAGGCCCTATTATTGGCCAAAAGGAAAAAGGTAGCCTGATATATCTTTTGATGAGTGGTGCTCATCATCTCCGATGGAAGCTGTACGGAGTTGATTTTTAGTCTGGTGTCCGATGTGGTGTGCGAGCTCTATATATATATATATATATATGCTCATGGTTACTTTTAAATTTTGTTAATTAGCATCACTTAGACAATTAAATAATTTTTAATATGGTTATTAAGAATAGTTAATAATTGATAAAATAAATATTTTAATATTTATTTTTAAAAAAATTAAAATTAATTTATAAATAAATATTTTTAAATAACATAATTATTTTAAAAAATTATAAATTAATAAAATTGTAATTAAACATACATTTTCAACAAAATAACATGCCACAATAACCAAAGCCGGTGTGGCGTTTGAGTTCTTTTTGTTCAAGGGAGAAAGCTGACGAGGAATAAGTGAAATAGAAGGAATGGGGAATAGTGCGTGGTTTCATTGCCTTTTGTTTTGCGTTGACGACGTATGGGTGTAATGTAAGACCCCTCCTCGTTCCTAAATGAAAATAATTCTATTTCACCAAAAAAAAAGAAAAAGAAAAAAGAAGATGTGGATTTTTAGGTTGATTTGTATGAAAAGAGTGGAAGAATATTTATAAAGAATATTTAAATGTTATTCCTCGATTCATTAAGATATGTAAGACAAAACAAATTAAAGTACTAACAAATTGATCCTCTGTCCACAATCTCAGCAATTTGACCGAACGTGACACAGGGACACCAACACGTGATGCAACCTGCAAAATAATTTAACAAGAGAAGAAAAACGATCCACTATGCATTTTAATTAATGGCCTTCAAGGACCAAGAAGCTAATATTTTCAAGTGAAAACTTACAGTTGGGAATGTCCGAGAGGCAGTCACAAAGGCCAGAGGACCAAGGGCCTTCGGTTCCAGGCTGAGGAGGAGGAGGAGGCGGAGGCGGGGCTGCCGATCCCTGGCTAAAGGCCGCAGGCGGCAGTTTCGAGGGCTCCTGATGATAAGTTACATTGGGGTTTGAGGACATGTTGTTGTCTTGGTGGATCGATGGATGGATGATTACTAGAGAAGAAATGCATGTCCGATCAATTGTTTCTGTGCTCAAATATATAATAAAGGGACAAGTTAATGTTATGATTGATTCCACGACTTAGAAAATAATAAAGATGTTAATGTTATGATGGATTCCACGACTTAGGAAAGAATAAAGATAAAAGGACAAAAACAAAAACAAAAAAATAAAGATAAAAGGATAAATTTTATTGTATTAAAATTTAAAATTATTGATATGTTATAAATTATATTATTTAAAATATTAAAAATAAATATTATATTATTACATAAATTTTTTTATTTTATTAAAATTTATAATATAATATATATCAATTCATTTAATTATATAATTTTTTTTTAAATAATGTTATCAT